TTTTGCAGAACCAGGGATTGAACCCAGGCCCTTGTGCTTACCAGTACTGAGCTATCTCCCTGGCCTTCTTTCTCTTTCTTTCTTTGGTACAGGGTCTTACTACATAGCTTGGACTCATGATCCTCCTGTCTCAGCCTCCCCAGCTGTGGGAATACAGGCATGCACACCATGCCCAGCTTTGGGGCTGGCTCGGCGTACCTGGGGTTCCAAGCCTGGCAGGGCATGTAGTACCAGAGATTGAGCCTTGTGCTTGCCAGGCAGGCACTTAGATTGCCAAGCTATCTCCCCAGCCCTGTCCTGAACATCCTTTTTTGTTTTGTTTTGTTTTTATGTTTGTACTGAGCATTCTTTTATTTTTTTATGGTACTGGGATTGAACTCAGGACCCTGCGCTAACCAGGCAAGCACTTATTCTATTGAGCTATCACCCCAGCCCTTGTACTGAGCATTTGTAATACTTGTCTACTTCAATGTCCTCAGGAATATACTTTTCCAATGTGAACTTCTATAATCCCAAATTTTCTCCTGCTAATGAAAAAACTGAAACTATAGCATGGCATGGTGGTGCACATGTGTAATCTTAACACTTGAAAATCTGAGATTACAGGTGTGTACCACCACACTGAGCTCTTGTTCCTGGAGCATACTGAAAAGCTAGACATAATAATAGCTTTTATAACAACTGATCTAGTTTACCATAGCATCTGGATTAAAATTTTTTTTTTTTTTTTTTGGAACCGGGGATTGAACTGAGGCCCTTGCATTTGCCAGGCAAGTGCTTATTCCACTGAACTATCTCCCTGGCTCCTCTTCTCCTTTTTTGTACTGCTGGTTTACAAAGTAGAAAGTATAATCTGTCTTACCTGAGTTGAGTTTCTGTAACGTAACATTTTAGCTTGGGGAAATAGGAATTAGTAGGCTTATGTCTGCTGTAGGTTATAGGTTGAATTGCTGTTGGGCCTCGTACTAACTTTACTTGGACAACTTACCTGCAATTCTTTTTTTTTTTTCTTTTTTTTGCGGAACTGGGGATTGAACTCAGGCCCTTGCGCTTGCCAGGCAAGCGATTATTCTACTAAGCTATCTCCCGGCCCTGTCTTACAGTTCTTAAGCCTCATTTTCATTTTTGAGTGTGGTGCTGGGGATTCTTGTTTTGTTCTGTTTTTTGTTTTTTAAGAAGGGGAGTCTCACTATGTAATCCAGGTTGGCCTCAGAGTCACTATGTAGCTCAGGCTGGCCTTAAACTGGTGGCAATCCTCCTACCTTAGCCTCCAAAGTGCTGAGACTATAAGTGTGCCCCAACATCCCCAGCCTTGGTACTGGGGATTGAACCCAGGGCTGTGTACCTCCTAGTGAAGTGATACACTACCTAGCCCTTTCTTATTTTGAGACAGAGACTCACTAAGTTGTCCAGGTTGGCCTTGTACTTGTGATCTGCCTGCACTTGTACTACTGTGCCTGGCTAATTTTCTTTTTTTTTGGGGGGGTGTACTGGGGATCAAACTGATGACCTTGCAATTGACAAGCAGGAGTTTATGCCAGCTGAGCTATCTTCCCAGCTCTAATTTTCTTATCTGTAAGATATAATAATTGAAATCAGGGGCTGGTGAGATGGCTCAGTGGTCTAAAGCACCTACGTAGAACAAGCTTAGCAAAGCACAGGGACCGCGGTTCAATCCCCAGCACCACATGCCAGCCAGCCCTGCCCCCTGGTGGGCTGAGCTGGACACACACAC